ATAACAAATTTCTAATATCATAAATACACTAATAGTCCCCATAATATAGTCAATCATAAAACAATAAATATAATAATATTATTATTATTATTATTTTCGATTATATTTAAATATTATGAATATTTTTTTTAAACTATTAAATATTTTTTTTAGATAATATGTCAAAATATTCTATTAATTATTCATAAAATTATTATTATTATAGTATTGATATTTTTAGTAATTTAAAAAAATAAAATATTTTATTATTATATCTTTAAATAATTATTGATTATATTGGATATATATATATATATATATATATATATATATATATATATATATATATATATAATATATATATATATATATATTTACCGGATATAGCTATTACAGTAGCTATATTTAATTAAATGTTTTTATTAAACAAATTGAGGGTCTAATAAATTTTTCTGGTATTAATCAAATCAATAATTATATTTATATAGTATAACAAAATAATATATATATATAATTAACATTTAGTTTACAACTCATATATATATAACTAATATATTAGTCAATAAAAATAACACTTTACTCTATATGACTATACTATTATTAGATTATTAACATTAATTAATTTGATATATATTTATACTTTAAATAATTAAACTTGCAACAATTTCAATTAACTTATTATATAATATAAATTATATTTTAATTTTATTTTACAAAATAAAATAATTTTGATACAAACATATATTTTAGATACAATATATATATATATATACAGTACAACAGTATAGACTTTTAGAAATTAAAAATATATTTATAAATTAATTACTACTAAATATACATACAATAGCATAACTATCATCAATAGTATAGTAAATTTATTAATAAATTTTTTTGGTATAAATCAAATCAATAATTATATTTATATAGTATATCAAAATAATATATATATAAATTATTAACATTTAGTTTACAACTCATATATATATATATAACTAATCTATTAGTTCAATAAAAATAACACTTTATAGATATAACATTAATTAATATATATAATAATAAACTGTTATATATAATAAACTGTTGATTTTAATTGTTTTAATATTTTCAACTATTTTTTTAAAGTGATGTTTAAATTAAAACATATCCACAAAAAACATTAGTATTTAATACAAYACTAAGTTATTATACACACGTTATCTGATTATTAAATGGCTATTTGATTAGTAATTATTATTATTAGTAGTAATTTTTAAAAAAAAATATTTACATAATATATATATATAATATATGATAAGAGAAATATCACAAATTATATAACAGTTTTATATACAGTACTATATATATTGTATATTATATAAAAATAGTAATGTTATGTTTTTTAATAAAATATTATTTTTGACAAAAAACAGAAAAAATATTTTATATTTTTTAATATACACATAACTTTTATTATTATTATTATTATTATTATTATTTAACTATTATTAATATTGGTTTTTATAAAATAAACTATTTTTTAGATAATATTTCAAAATATTCTATTAATTATTTAAAAAATTATTATTATTATTGTTATAGTATTGATATTTTTTTAGTAATTATTAATAAAATATTTAATTATTATATCTATAAATATATTATTGATTATATATATATATATATTTAGCGGATATAGCTATATTTAATTTAATAATGTTTTTATTACAAATTAAGGGTCTAATAAATTTTTTGTGGTATTAATCAAATCAATAATTATATTTATATAGTAATATATCAAAATATATTTTTATATAATTAACATTTAGTTTACAACTCATATATATTAATATATATATATATAACTAATCTATTAGTTCAATAAAAATAACACTTAATATATGACTAGACTATTAGATTATTAACATTAATTAATTTTGATTAAAAAATTTTTGATTTTATTTTATTTAAATTTTTTAAACAATTAACTTATTATATATAATATTATAACTTATATATTATAAAGATTTATTTCACACACAAAAAAAAACAATTTTTTTAGATATTTAAAGTCTATATAAAAAAATAAATATATTTTATCAATACATACAATATATATATATATATACAGCACAACAACATTAGTAATTAAAAAAAAATATATATTTATTAATTTAATTAATTACTAATAAATACAAACATACATAATAACTATCATCAATAGGATAGTGGCTATCGAGGACAGGGAGGCCCGCAAACTACTACTGGCGGACCTACAAATAGGTGCCAACTGGTCATATTCGGAGCACCGGTCGGCAACGTGCTGCCGGGTGTCATCGTCGGATGGCAATTGGCGAAACATTTTGGCCACCGATTGGCCACATTGCCGGATAGTCAGGGCCGCTCGGGCCACACAATCGCGTGCCCGCCAAACACCGCAACAAACCGATCGCCGTACGGATTCGGTAGTCTGGTCCCAGTTATGTCGGCGCATAGTCTGGTTAATTGATTGGCGATATTGTCGATCACAACGCGACCACTCGGGCGATAATTGCCGATTACAATCGGGTCGCGAACTCAGGTCTACTTCGCCCAGATCTATGTACGGCAGGTCAACACTGCCAACAATTTTCAACATTAAACTACTATTGATTAGTAGTATAATAGTAGTAATCATTACTAAATTGTTGTAATAATAATAATAATTATTAAATAATATAATCATTGTTTTAATAATTATAATTTAGGTTTTTTTGTTTGTTGATGAATGACATGAATAATATTAACTATATTTTTAGTATTTATAATAATATTATTATATTTAATAATAAACTGTTATTTTTTAATTTTGGTTTATTAATTAAAACATATTCACAATTTTTTAAAAAAAAAACATTAGTATTTAATACAACACTAAGTTATTATACACACGTTATCTGATTATTAAATGGCTATTTGATTAGTAATTATTATTATTTGTAATTTTTTTTATATATATTTATATCAAAAATATATATATATATAAAATTATATGATAAGAGAAACATCACAAATTATATAACAGTTTTATATATTATATATACCAATAGTAATGTTATGTTTTAATATATATATATATTTGAATGTGTTATTCAACAGCAAAATAATATCTAATATTTTTTTTATATACACACATAACTCTTATCTCTATATTATTATTATTATTATTATTTGTAAATTATTAAATTCAATGAGTTGTTAATGTTGTCGTTGTTGGGATAAACTGTATATACAATAAATATAGACATTATAATCAATGTTAATATAAATAGATATTAACTATATATATATAATGCAAAAAAATCTGTTTAATATATATATATATATATATATATATACGGTATATACTGTATATCATATCAAATAACATTTATATTTATTACTAAATTTTAAATAAAAAAATATTAGTTATAATTTATACGTCAAATATTAAAAGTATTGATTATATATTTTTTTCAAAAATGTTTAAAAATTATTATTATCAATATTTTTTATTAATTAATTAAAACACATACTTAAACATGAAATGTATATATTTATATAAAATTATTAAAGTTTTTTAAACAAAATATCAATAAATATTTTAATAATAATTAACTAATCAATTGACTATGAAAGTGAAAAATATTATATTTTTAAACTTAAAAACCTTATGTTTATTATATATTAAATATTATAATAATAATTATTATTATTGAAAATATTTTATCTTTAATAAACTATTTGATGCATCAGAAAATAAAATGTAAAAAAATAAAATAAAAAAAACAGTGTATTATATTTAATATCATTTTCATAATATATATACTGTATATTACATAATACAGTATACTAAACATTACATTATTATTATTATTTTAAAAACAGTGGGAAAAACTAATAACAAAATGTTTTTGTAATTTGATTCACAATTCATTAAAAAAAAAAAGATAAATGTGTTACACAAACATTGAAAAAAACATCTCATATTTTTTGTACGTTTAAAAAACAATATATATATATATATATACTGTATATATAATCTCATATTTTGTATTTTTTTTTGTTTAATTAAATACATTTGTTTATATATAGCTATAAATTATTATTAAATAGAGTTTAAATTATTTATATATATATATTATTTTATTTTTTTTTTTTTTGGGTACAAAGTGTATACACAAAGTGGTATTGAATATCATTTATATATTAATTATAGTCTCTATACTCTCTCTCTCTCTCTCTCTCTCTCTCTCTCTCTCTCTCTCTCTCTCTCTCTCTCTTTCTATTTTCACTCACTCTTTAACAATCTCATTGTTATTATGATTTATACTATATATTGTATTAAATAAAAATAATTTTTCTATCACTTATATTTCACATCCTTTTTATAATTAATTAAATAAAATGATTTTTACTAAACACTGTGTGTGTGTGTGTATGTATGTRTGTGTGTGTGTATGTATGTGTGTGTGTATGTATGTGTGTGTGTGTGTGTGTGGGTGTGTGTAAGTATGTAATAAATGTATGTAATATATGTATGTAATGAAAATTAGGTTATGTTATACAGTATCTTAGTCTAAGTCTAAGTCTAGCAATAATAATAATAATAATAATAATAATAATAATAATAATAATAATAATAATAATAATAAACTACATGTATTTAAATTTATTTTATTACATACAATATATACATAAAGTTATTTATTAGTTAAGTATTATTATTTTATGATTCAATAAGCTAGAAATTTATTAGTTATATTAATAATTAATTGATTAGTAATATTATTTAACTATTAATATTTATTTGTACTGTAATTATATTTATATAAATAAAAAAATTAATTAATTAAATTAGTAATTTTTAATAATATTTTTGTATAATAATAACTTGTTTTTTATTTAATAAAAAAAATGATTACTTTAATTATTCATTAAAATAAAATAAATAAATTCTATAATAATATAATATAACTGAGTTTTCAATTAAAAAAATTATTACAATTATTATTATTATTAATTTTAGTCTTATCGTAGGCCTGTTCATCAATAATAGTAGTATTATTGTCATAATCAGACATTACATGTCTATCGTAGGCCTGTTTGGCTGAACTCATAAGTTGACCGGCCATTTGAGGACCGGTTTGTTTGACCAGTTTATAGAAAAGTCCGCAATTGTTTTGCAACAAACGGTACGGACTGTCAAACTGTTGGACTCTTCTGGAGTCTAAAACCAATACTTTATTTGAATCGATGATTGTATTGAGTCTGTGGGCTATCGTTATGACCGTACAGTCGGCAAAGTTCTGGCGTATTGTCTGCTGAATGAGTGAATCGGTGTTGTGATCGACATTAGCGGTCGCCTCGTCTAACACTAGGATACGATTGCGTCGGAGTATAGCTCTGGCCAGACATATGAGCTGACGCTGGCCTACACTCAGATTACCGCCGCTTTCGGACAGTTGATAATCGAGACGTCCGGGCATTTCCATTACGGCATCCCTTAGCTGAACCTGTTTCAGGGCATCCCATAGCCTGTCCTCTGAATGTTCATCAAATGGATCCAAATTTTTACGTAAAGTTCCGATAAAAGCTACCGGTTCTTGTGGTATGATTGAGATATGTTTACGCAGATCGTGAAGACCCAGACTTTTTGAATCAATTCCGTCTATTATGATCTGACCGTCACATTCATGCATACGAAACAATGCCGACAATATGGATGACTTGCCGGCACCGGTACGGCCAACAACACCCACTTTTTCGCCGCCGTTGATCGAAAAATTCAGACCCATTAGTGTAGGTTTGGGTGAATTATCGTAAGTAAGTGAGACATCCTTGAAATCTATGGTTCCCCGTTGTGGCCAATCATCGGATGGTTTGGTTTCAGTTTCCAGGTCTGCCTCCGACTTGAGTCGACTGTATTCAAGTATACGTTCAACTGATGTCATCTGGTTTTCCACTTCAGCCGACTGTCTGACACCCCATTGAGTCATACCAGTCAAACCCAGTGCCATAGATAAAGCTAGACCGGCATTACCACCGGGTAGGCCTAAAATTAATATATATATATATATATATATATATATATATATATATATAAATTAGTCTATAATAAACAGTATATATACTGTAAATTACATACCAGTGTGAAATAGCATTAGAAATAGTGCCACAAAAAACACATAAACCACACAAATCAAGTCCATTACTATACCTATTATTTATAATAATATTTCAATAAATAATTAGTATATATATATATATATTGCTTAATAAAGTCCAGTGTCTCAGTTTAGAGAGGACTGGTATGTGACACGTTTATTGAAGTTGACTGTTGATTAGCTATACATACCTAAGCCACGTGAGGCTACAAAACACATAAAATAGGTGGCCGTGTGGTCATTCTGGTACCGGTAGTACTGCTGGAGAAACATTGACTGGGCTTTGAAGGCCCTGATTGTTGCCAAACCGTTCAACGTTGTTGTCATATGATTGTACATTGGGCTCCGGGCTATCATTTAAGTAAAAAATTATATATATATATATATTCTAATCAACAAAAATTTTTATTTTATACCCATATTTTCAAATCGTTTCAAATCGCGTCCAGTCTTAACATAAATCCAACGCACAGTTAGTATGATTGCAATGACTACAAGTGCCGGAAATATTAGATACCAGTTAACAATGGCTACTATTATGACTGTACCGATAATCAGTGTTACTATCTATTATATATAGTAATAATAATAATAATTTAAAAAAATTATAATTAATAGCTTTAAATAATTTCAATAGTTATCATATTTTTGTTTTATATAGATATTGCTTACAATATTCAAATCATAGGCACATAGAGGCAACTGTTCGTCAATAATGCCGACATCTTTGGTAAACCTATTGAGTATTCGGCCTAAAAAATATTCATATATATTGAGAATGAGGGGACAGTCGGGTTTTTTTTGTAATAGTAGAGGACAGTTAGACTATAAGTTTATACAGAAAGACAGAGAAAGACAGAGAAAGACAGAGAAAGACAGAGAAAGACAGAGAAAGACAGAGAAAGACAGAGAAAGACAGAGAAAGACAGAGAAAGACAGAGAAAGACAGAGAAAGACAGAGAAAGACAGAGAAAGACAGAGAAAGACAGAGAAAGACAGAGAAAGACAGAGAAAGACAGAGAAAGACAGAGAAAGACAGAGAAAGACAGAGAAAGACAGAGAAAGACAGAGAAAGACAGAGAAAGACAGAGAAAGACAGAGAAAGACAGAGAAAGACAGAGAAAGACAGAGAAAGACAGAGAAAGACAGAGAAAGACAGAGAAAGACAGAGAAAGACAGAGAAAGACAGAGAAAGACAGAGAAAGACAGAGAAAGACAGAGAAAGACAGAGAAAGACAGAGAAAGACAGACAGTATATTACCGACAGGATTGTTGTCAAAAAAACCTATCGGTGCCCGCATTAGTTGATAAAAGATTTTATTATGCAATCGGACCGATGCTGTTATACACATCATGAAGAATGTGGCGGATCTGATGATCAATGTTGAGAAAGTGGTCGCAACTATAACAGTGTATAGTATGATATTTGATGATTGATCAGCACCTGTACCCATAGTATTATCATTACTATTATCTAGTCTACTGTCTTCAGCATTGGTCCTTCAAATAATAGTAATATTATATCAATTGATATAACAATAGGATTGTTATGATTATGATTACCACTCGGTTAGCCACCAGTCACTGTAGTGCATCAGTGCCTGGGATACCAATGAAGACATTATGACCGAAACCAATAGTATAGGGCCGGCACCTGATCGTAGATAATTCCAATAAGTATGGGCACCTATAGAACCGGTAGCTTTTGATTCATCAGCTAGTTTTGGATCATCGGCATCACTACTAATCACAGTAGTTTGTATTGGATCAACCTATTTGTTGGATTAGTCCAAGTAATGTATGGTTAGTAATATAATAATTAAGGGGAACGGTAGCTAATTAAATACATCCGATATTGTCGACAGTGCCGACATTGTCCGCTTGCGTGCAATGATTAGCTGTTCAGACATTTTAGTCATCAGCAGCTGATGTTGTTGTTGTTCATCAGATTTCTTCATGTTTTCAATTAGTTGTTGTTTTTGTTTGTGAACTTCATCTGCGGTTTTATCGTTGGTTTCTTCTTTCAGTATTGACATAAAATCAATGCCCGCACCGACTAACTGATCATAGGATCCGAAACCCATGGGTCGGCCGCCATCGCTCAGGACTAAGATTTTCGTAGCCTTACGTATGAATTGGATCTGATGTGTGACTAATACAACGGTTTTTGATTTCAGATATTCAGTTATACATCTAATGAAATGATATGAAAATTATTTTTTAAAAATAAATTTTTATAATTTTTTTTGTGATATACTTTTCAAATATATGTTTGGCTACTTCACTGTCCACTGCACTCAACGGATCGTCCAATAGGTAGATATCGGCGTCATTATAGAGAGCACTGTTAGTTCAGAGGGGGTGAGGGTATTGTATATATGATAATCAGTTAGTTATTAATAGTTAATAATAGTTAAGATTTCAATGGTATGCAAACCGGGCTAATGTTAGTCTGGCTTTCTGTCCGCCGCTCAATGAGACGCCTCTCTCTCCGACTAATGTTTTCTCTCCAAACGGAAACAGTTTTAGATCGGTATTCATAGCGCAGACAGATATGACTTCTCGCCATTTCCTCGAATCGAATGGCAAACCAAATGTAATATTCTGTATAATACTAGCGTTAAAACTCCACGACTCCTGTGATGCATAAGCTATGGAACCGTTGACTCTAACCGTACCCGAAGTTACAGATATTTCGTTCATTAGTGACATTAGAAATGAACTCTAAATTTACAAACAAATAAATTACAAAAAATATATTTAATAAATATATTATTTTTCTGATTATTAAAAAACTATACCTTTCCTGAACCAACTGGTCCTATAACTGCCAACAGTTCACCCGGTTTTACCGTTAATGATATATTTTTTAAGGTACAAACATCGCTATCCTATTTTGATATTATAAATAGTTATTTATTTTTTAATTATTTTTWWAATTATATATATATATATACTGTATATTAAACATATATAWGACATACAACTATCCATTTGGCAGACATATCGTTAACATTGACACTCAAATCATTGTCTATTTTATCCGTATATTTAATATCCTTATTATTATTATTATTATCAAAATTATTATCAAATTGTTTATCACTATTACTAATAACTTTATCATCGATTTCATCCAATAGTAGAAAATTCTGTATTTAAAAATAATTGGAAATTTWATTTTATTTTTTTTTAWRAATAATAACAATATTTTTTTGTATTAGGTTTGGTTAGGTTTTTTAGGGGGGGTCTGGTTAGTTGGTTGGGTGGATGGATGGGTATACCTGTACTCTATTACACGAAACATTGATTTCAGCTGCCAGTGCTACCGCTTGGGTGAACCACCAGGTCATCGACTGTCTCAATGTATTATAGATTTGCATCGTTACGAAAACTACCTCAGCTTTCAAATGATTACCCGTCAGTACATAAGTAATAAATACTACAAACAGTATGACTCGACCGCTGATAATATAKATGGATATATTCAATGCCCTCAACAGTGTTGCCATTTTTATTTGGGACATCTCTTTCCTAAATTAAATTTTTAWAAAAAAATTTAATAAAAAAATTATAKAATTTTAATTATTTATTAATACGATTTTTTTCAATTTTCCTATTAATTAAATAAATAATTATTATATTTATTTAATTAATTATAATAGTATTATAATATTGATATTATACTACTATTACTTACTATATATTATTTCTTTCCTAAATTAAATATAAAATTTTTTGTTTAAAAAAAATTATATAATTTTAATTATTTATTAATAGGTTTTTTAAAAAAAATAGTTTTCCTATCAATTAAATAAATAAAAAATAACTGTTTATTTAACTAATTAATTAATAGTATATATATATATATATATATATATATATATATATATATAAATATTATAATTATATATATATATATATATATATTAATATATGACAATAGTCATCTCTTTCATAATTAATTTCAATAAAAAATATTTTTAATATAATTTTAATTAATTAATAGGTTGTTTRTAAAATTATTRATAATTTTTAATTTTTTTCTCTCTAAATTTTTTCAATATATCTTATATTATTTAGTTGTTATTTAATTTGAATATTAATTATGTAATCAACGATCAATTTATAATAATAATATAACTTTTTTCACCCTACTATCTAATAGTTTTAAATAATATCAATATATATATATATATATATATATATATATATATATTTGTATAGATTATTATTATATTGATTTTTTTAAATTATAATTTTAATTTATATATAGTAAACAAAAATCACATTTAATWRTAATATAATTTTTWTTATAAAAAAAATATTAGTAAAATACCCGTATAGACGGKAGCGGGAAACTTACTTTCGGGCATCGCCTATCAATTTGGCAAAATGTTGTTCCCAGGCATACATTTTAATAACGGCCATACCTTTAATAATCTCATTCATCAAACGTATCCTATTATCGGATAGTACGGCTACTTTGGATCTGATGTTTGTATTTTTGTTATATATATAAATATATATATTTCTTTTTTAAATTAATTAAAATCATACCTAATTTTTTGAAACAATCGACCAGTAATTGCATTTAACGGTATAAACAGGAACAGTATACCTAAGCCAATAAAACTAGTCCAACCAATATATAGATAGCATATATAGACACCGATTATCGATTGTATGGGTGCCGTAAACATGAATGGACCCAAAATGATAAACTATTTGTAGTTTTTTTGTTTTGTATAATAATTAATTAATAACTATTATATTAATAAATACTACTAATATAATAAAAACTAATAATAATTTAAATAAATAAAATGATTTTTAAAAAATAATACTAATTACTAATAATAATAAATACTAATAATAACTGCTACTAATAATAAATACTAATAATAACTAYTAATAATAAATACTAATAATAAATACTAATAATAAATTATAATAATAATTAACTAATAATAATAACTAATAATAATAACTAATAATAATAACTAATAATAATAACTAATAATAATAACTAATAATAATAACTAATAATAATAACTAATAATAATAACTAATAATAATAACTAATAATAATAACTAATAATAATAAAACTAATAATAATAAATACTAATAATAATAAATACTAATAATAACTACTAATAATAATWATWTYTAACATTTATTAAAATTATTATTAATAATYACAAATACCTCATCAAATCGGCTGACATCGTTGGACATGAGATTCAATATCTGGCCGACGGTTGTCCGGCCGAAAGCCGACGGTTTCAGTTTCAATGCTTTCTTATACATYAGCGTACACCAGGAAACCCGTGCCCGTGTGGCCACCCGACACTCCATGACGGCTGACGGATGATAGGTCAACACTAGGGTCAGTGCCGAYAGGACAACACCGCCGGCATACAGACAACCTGTTTTGTAGTCCTGTTTGTCCGGTTGGGCAAAATATCTGATAACATAMCCGAGCAATACTGGCTGGACGTTCTTTACGAAGCATTCCTGTATATCAAAAATATATAAATATATATATAATTAATTAATTAATTATATATTTATGGGAATATTAATTAGTATTTTTTGTTGTTGTTTATTAATTTGTTTATTATATTGTTATAATATAATTAAAATTATCATGGTTATTATTATTATTACTATTATTTTTATAAAATATTTATTATACAAAACATTCCTGATGAAATTTTATAATTCAAAAAATAAAAATAAATTATCTAGGTTATATTATCATTTAAATTAAATTAATTTCACAATAATAGATATTTATTATTATTGTTATTATTAATTATGTTTTAATATTATTATTAAGATATTTATTTTTTGTTGTTGATATATAATTATTATTTAAAAAAAACAATAAATATTCTATAAAAAGTGTATGTATTATATAATTTTTTTTTAATCAAATTGTTGTTGAGTACATTTTCTAAAACCAATTAATTATTATTATTATTATTATTATTATTATTATTATTATTATTATTACATATTATAATAATAATAATTTTTTTTTGAATTACTATTAATTTATATTATTTTATGTATTTTCTATGTTATAACTATAGTATTATATTTAAAAATATTATAGAAAATATTATATTATTAATTTATATTATTTTATGTATTTTCTATGTTATAACTATAGTATTATATTTAAAAATATTATAGAAAATATTATATTATTATATTATTTAGTTTTAGTATATATTTGTATATTTATTCGATAGATATTTATTATTAAACTTTAATAATTTTTTTTTTAGTACTACTGGTATTAATTAATATATTTATTGTTATTTTTGTTGTTGTTATTGATATATATTTTTCACAAAACAAACAAATTAATTACTATTACTATTACTAAATATTATGATAACAAAAAAATTTTTTATTAGAAATTCCTATCATTTATACAGTATATTGTTTATGTGTATTACTAAATGTTATTACTAGTGTCTTGATTTTCAACTAAAAAAATTATTTTGTCGGTTCAACGCTTATAACTGGGACTTAGTATGTCCACCGAAGTTGACCAGTGGACGCTATTTCCGAAATTTTATTATAACTATAAATAACTATTTGTTGGGTTAGCAACTATAAAAACTTATAAATAATTATTTCATTGATTTTGAAAAATATAAGCATTAAATTGTAAAATTAAGTACAAATATATGTAAAAACAAAAAGTAATAATTATATAAATTATATAAAATGTGTAAACTGTTAATCAACTCATATTACTTTTTTAACAATAGAAATAATTAGTTTATTTATATAAATCATTTTTGTAAATATGCTGCAAACAAATGAATATATATCAGTTGAAATATTTATAAAAAAATAAATAACTATTTCAATAACTATTTGGCTTTTTTAGCAACTATATACAACTATTTAATACAGTTTAAATAACTATTTTAAAAACTATTTGACTTTTTTAAGCAACTATTATAACAACTATTTAATAGAGTATAAAAAATTATTAATCAATACACTAGTTATTACTATTAAAATTATTTCAAAAAAATACAGTTTATATACATTAGATTTTTTTTTACAAAAAATATGTATATATTATATKATATATGATATATAACTTACCCCAAAACTAACCAAACATAACGGTAATAACAATTGCGGTCCAAACGTCTTGATTGATGCCCACCTAAAACTGGGCGACCGTTTCTKGAGCTCATTGTTCCAGTTTCTGATGAAAATAACAAAAAAAATAATTAATTAATTAATTAATAATTTTATTTTTTATATAATTATTTTATATATTTAAAAAAATTATTTTTAAATACTTTTCCAATGTTTTGACCAATAKTTCCGATTCGTCGGCTTTGGGACATCGGTACAGATCATTGATATCGACCTCACGTTTCAGTCCATTGATAAATGTTGAGTAAATCCAACTAAAAAAATTAAAAATATATTTTAATATTTTTTTTTGTTGAAATAAATCATAAATTAAATAAATAGATAAAATGAATTAATAAATAAGTTAATAATAATAACCAGTAAATCAATAACTAATTAGAAAAAAAATTACTAACTATTTAATTAATTAATTAAATTAATTAATAATATTCTGTACTATAAATATTGTAACTATAAATACTATAACTAATTAATTAGTTAATTAAAATAACTAATCAATTAATTAAAATAACTAATTAATTAATTAAAATAACTAATTAATTAATCAAAATAATTAATTAATTAATTAAAATAACTAATTAATTAATTAAAATAACTAATTAATTAATTAAAATAACTAATTAATTAATTAAAATAACTAATTAATTAATTAAAATAACTAATTAATTAATTAAAATAACTAATTAATTAATCAAAATAATTAATTAATTAATTAAAATAACTAATTAATTAATTAAAATAACTAATTAATTAATTAAAATAACTAATTAATTAATTAAAATAACTAATTAATTAATTAAAATAACTAATTAATTAATTAAAATAACTAATTAATTAATCAAAATAACTAATTAATTAATTAAAATAACTAATTAATTTATTGAAATAAATAATTAATTTATTGAAATAAATAATATGTTTGTAATATAAATATTTTACAATGTTTTTTTTGAATTAAAAAATATATATAAATAACGGAAAGCTAGATTGACTATAATTTTAACAAAATATTTTTTTAATATTTTAATWTTAATAATAATTTAAATAATTTAAAAAAAAACTTACATGCAATAAGCTTTAGCCACTATATTTGTTTGATCCCATTTTGATGGYTTTTTAATTAATTGTTCAGTGTCCATTATTATAATATTTATTATTTTTAAAAAAAATATTATTAWTATTTAATTTAACAAGTTAAAATATTTAATAAAATCATAATGCTAGAATTATTATTTATATAAATTTATATATAATATATTGTAGTTTTATTATAAGTTAATTATGATTTTTTAAAACTTTTATTTTAATTAATACTTTTAGTTTATATACTAGTCTACAGTTGCCGAGTGCTATAAAATAATWATTKTGTTTTAATTGTGATAATAATWTTTATATTATAATATAATACTATTATCTATTTAAACTAATTAACACTAACTAAAAAAAAATAATAAAAATTATTTCACAAACTGATGCAATTTATACATATATATCTGTATATAATATAATAATAATAATAATAAAACGTAAACTTARTTAACATTGATATTATTGTAATAATAAAATTATTATTATTATTATTATTATATAATAAAATATGTRACGTKATTAATATTTTTTAATTATATATATATATATTATATATAWATATATAATGTAAAATGTTTTTTTGCACATTTYACTATTTTTTTAAATTTGTACTCAAAATAATAATAATAATAAAATAATTAAAAWAAAAAATTTTAAACCTATTAATATAATAAACGGTATAATAAAAATAAATCAGTCATATGTTTCTTAATATATGAWATAATAACTAAAGTATAACTTATTAATTATATATATATAWAWAATTTAACTAACACACCCATCATTTTTATTGGTAGTTATAAATATATCTTATATTTAAAAAATAAAAATAAAATGCAATATTAAATGTTAATTTTAAAAAAWATAAWATTTACTAATAAATGCTACAAATTTACTATAAATAATATTTTAATAAATTACAAATAATTATTTTTATTTAATAWCATAATATATTTTATAATAAACATAAAATGTTTTATATAATAAACATAATTGTTTTATAATAAACAATATATATATCTATAAATAACTAATTATTAATAAATTTTTTTAAATCAATGGTCACATAAATAAAACAAAAATATATATATAAATTATTTTTATAATAAGTAATAAAAAAATTAATTTAGTTTTAAATTATTCAAAATAATTATATATATATATATCTAATTTATATGAAAAWTGTAAAATAATATGATTTATTMAAATTGATAATWATAATAATAATAGRAATACAATATATTTMTGATAAACATTAATAATTATTATAAAACTAATAATTAGTTAATAATATTTAATATTATAATTAAAATATTTCAGTTATTTATGAATTAATGTAATATTGGAATAAAGTTTTATACAAAAAAAAGAAAGATTTTTTTCTTCAAAATTTTCAACAAAAAAAACAAATAAATAAATAAATTTATTTTAAAATCACTGATTAATAGTGTCTTAAATGGTATAATTAGTATCCGATTCARWCAGTCATCTTATCGTACGCTTGTTTGGCTGAACTCATGAGTTGWCCGGCCATTTGAGGACCGGTTTGTTTGACCAGTTTATAGAAAAGTCCGCAATTGTTTTGCAACAAACGGTACGGACTGTCAAACTGTTGKACTCTTCCGGAGTCTAAAACCAATACTTTGTTTGAATCGATGATTGTATTGAGTCTGTGGGCTATCGTTATGACCGTACAGTCGGCAAAGTTCTGGCGGATTGTCTGCTGAATCAGGGAATCGGTGTTGTGATCGACATTAGCGGTCGCCTCGTCTAACACTAGGATACGATTGCGTCGGAGTATAGCTCTGGCCAGACATATGAGCTGACGTTGACCTACACTCAGATTACCGCCACTTTCGGACAGTTGATAATCGAGACGTCCGGGCATTTCCATTACGGCATCTCTTAGCTGAACCTGTTTCAGGGCATCCCATAGCCTGTCCTCTGAATGTTCATCAAATGGATCCAAATTTTTACGTAAAGTTCCGATAAAAGCTACCGGTTCTTGCGGTATAATTGATATGTGTTTACGCAGATCGTGTAGACCCAGACTCTTGCAATCGATTCCGTCGATCAGTATCTGTCCGTCACATTCATGCATACGAAACAATGCCGACAATATGGACGACTTGCCGGCACCGGTACGGCCGACAACACCCACTTTGTCGCCGCCGTTGATCGAAAAATTCAGACCCATTAGCGTAGGTTTGGGCGAATTATCGTAAGTAAGTGAAACATCCTTAAAGTCAATGGTTCCCCGTTGTGGCCAATCCTCGGATGGTTTTTCCAGACTTTCCAGCTCTGCCTCCGACTCGAGTCGACTGTATTCAAGTATACGTTCAACGGATGTCATCTGGTTTTCCACTTCAGCCGACTGTCGGACACCCCATTGAGTCATACCAGTCAAACCCAGTGCCATAGATAAGGCTAGACCGGCATCGCCTCCGGGTAAGCCTTTTATATTTATTTTAATTCAAAAAAAAAATTATATTATTAATTTAATTAATTATATATAATTATTTTTATTTTTTACCTTGATGAAATAACATTAGAAACAGGGCTACAACAAACACATACAGTGTGCATATATAGTCCATTATTATACCTATTAAATAAAAAAACAAAAAATTATTTTTTATAAATACTATTATTACTACTATAAATTTATTACTATTACTATAACTATAAGTTTTTTTTGTAGTTATATTATTATAACTATAAGTTTTKTTTGTTGTTATATTACTATAACTATAAGTTTTTTTGTTGTTATATTACTATAACTATAAGTTTTTTTTGTTGTTATATTACTATAACTATAAGTTTATTTTGTAGTTATATTATTATAACTATAAGTTTTGTTTGTTGTTATATTACTATAACTATAAGTTTTTTTTAGTTTAGAAAATATATGTCATATTATATCATATGATATGTTAAACCATACCYAAAGCCCTGGACGATGAAAAACACATAAAATAGGTGGCCGTRTGGTCGTCCTGGTATCGGTAGTACTGTTCCTCAAACATYGAYTGGGCTTTGAATGACCTGATTGTTGCCAAACCGTTYAACGTAGTGGTCATATGATTGTACATTGGGCTCCGGGCTAAATGGTTAGATAGATATAGATTGATAGATGGATAAGCAGATATTATTATATTGTATATCTATTGTATAATTATTACTAATAATGTATTTAATGTACAAACTATGTATCAAAAAGCTATGTATTAAAAACTATGTATTAAAAACTATGTATTTAAAAACTATGTATTAAAAACTATGTATTAAAAACTATGTATTAAAAACTATGTCTTTAAAAAACTGTGTATAAAAACTATGTATAAAAACTATGAATTAAAAACTATGTATAAAAACTAATTAATATATTGTTTGTTTGATTTATTGAAAATTTATTGATAAACTATATAATAGTTTTAATTATTATTATGTTTTGTTGTTTTAAATTGATTGACTAATTGTTATGAAATTATTATACTATTATTAATAATATTAGTGATTATTATTATTACCCATATTTTCGTAACGTTTCAAATCTCTGGCCGTTTTGATATACATCCATCTRATYAGTAATATTAAGAAAATCATTAYCAGTGCCGGAAAAATKAGATACCAGTTGACAATTGCYACCACTATTATTGTGCCAATCAGTTGGCATACAATCTATAYATACATGACATAACATACATAAGCCAAACCAAATCATAAGTAATTAGTATATATATATGACTTACAATATTCAAATCATAGGCACATAGAGGYAACTGTTCATCAATAATGCCGACATCTTTGGTAAACCTATTGAGTATTCGGCCTAAAAAATATATTCATATATATATAGAGAGAGTGAGAGGACAGTCGGGTTTTTTTTGGTAATAGTAGAGAACAGTTAGACTGATTAGTCTATAGAGAGACAGAGAGAGACAGAGAGAGACAGAGAGACAGAGAGAGACAGAGAGAGACAGAGAGAGACAGAGAGAGACAGAGAGAGAGAGAGACAGAGAGAGAGAGAGAGAGAGAGAGAGAGAGAGAGAGAGACAGAGAGAGACAGAGAGAGAGAGAGAGAGAGACAGAGAGAGACAGAGAGAGAGAGAGAGAGAGAGACAGAGAGACAGAGAGACAGAGAGASWGACWGTATATTACCGACGGGATTGTTGTCAAAAAAACTGATCGGTGCCCGCATTAGACGATAAAARATTTTATTATGCAATCTAATCGAYGCTATWATACAGGTCAGGAAAAAAGTGGCCGATCGGACAATCARTGTACCGAAAGTTATGGCCATTAATGCCGAAAATATGATTATATTTGGSGACTGATCGTAATAATCRTTTAGATTTCTTTTRTCCTCTTTATTGGTCCTTAAAAATAATAATTTAAAAAAATAATTTAATTTTTAAAAATTATTGATATTTTTTGTTAGTATAGCTATGTTTTGAAACTACTATTAATAATAATACTATTAATAATAATACTATTATTACTAATAATAATACTAWTGCTAATAATAATAATAATACTATTACTACTAATAATAATACTATTACTACTAATAATAATAATACTATTATTACTAATAATAATAATACTATTATTACTAATAATAATACTATTGCTAATAATAATAATAATACTATTATTACTAATAATAATACTATTACTACTAATAATAWTAATACTATTAWTAMTAATAATAATACTAACCATTGGGTTAGCCACCAATCGCTATAGTGAAACAGTCCCTGGGATACCAGTGTCGATAGTATGGCCAGCAGCATCAGTACGGGACCGGCACCTGCCCTAATATAGGCCCAGTAGACCCGGCCACTTATCGACCCAGTTGATTTAACTTCATCATCGAGTTTAGGGTCACTTATTTCGGTGCATATCTATTTGGATGGGATAGTATAGATAATACTATACAGTATCTGTATATGTATACAAAAAAAAGTATCTATACCTCCGATTGGACSGATAGGGCACTGATAGTCCTCTTGCGGGCTATAATTTGTTCAGCAATTAACAACTCTTCACTCTTTTTATTARCCATTGTTTCCTTTGCTGTCGATGTCGATGATGTMGCTGTCGTATCGTCTCTCGTCAGTAACGACATAAAATCAATACCCGAACCRATCAGCTCCTCATACGACCCGAAACCCAGTGGCCGACCTTCGTGTATGACCAGTATTTTCGTTGCCTTCCGTATGAATTGGATCTGATGTGTGACTAATACAACRGTTTTGTGTTTCAGATATTCAGTTATACATCTGAATGGTATTAAAAAAAATATTTTTTAATTAAATTTAATGAAATTAATTAATTAATTCAAATTGTAATATACTTTTCAAATATATGTTTGGCTACTTCACTGTCCACTGCACTCAACGGATCGTCCAATAGGTAGATATCGGCGTCATTATAGAGAGCACTGTTAGTCGGGGTATAGTATATATGATAATTGAAAATTAGTTATTAATAGTTAATAATAGTAATGATATCAATAGTATGCAAACCGGGCTAATGTTAGTCTGGCTTTCTGTCCGCCGCTCAATGAGACGCCTCTCTCTCCGACTAATGTTTTCTCTCCAAACGGAAACAGTTTTATATCGGTATTCATAGCGCAGACAGATATGACTTCTCGCCATTTCCTCGAATCGAATGGCAAACCAAATGTAATATTCTGTATAATACTAGCGTTAAAACTCCACGACTCCTGTGATGCATAAGCTATGGAACCGTTGACTCTAACCGTACCCGAAGTCACAGATATTTCGTTCATTAGTGACATTAGAAATGAACTCTAAATTTACGAAAATTTTTAAAMAAAAATTAATGAAATTATTTTTAAATTAGAAAAAAATATTTATTTTTTTTTRWTGAAAACTATATACCTTTCCTGAACCTACTGGTCCTATAACTGCCAACAGTTCGCCCGGTTTTACTGACAATGATATACTTTTTAGTGTATTATTTTCGTGAGTCTATTAATATATAAAAAAAAAATATTTAAAAAATAACTTAATTATAGATTAATTAAAMTTAATTATTATTATTATTGATAATCACTTACCGGATCCCATTTGGCGTACATATCATTGACACTAATACTACAATYATTTAGACTATTATTATTATATAAATTTTTWGATAATTCATCACTTTTTTATTAKTATTATTATTATTATTATTATTGTCTATTTTATCATTATTWTTCAATAATAATTTTTCATCAATAGTTTCATTTGTATTATTATTATTAKTAGTATTATTAGATGTATTACAATATTCACTACTATTGTCATCGATTTCTTCAAGYAATAAAAATTTCTGTAATAAATAATTAATAAATTAAATCAATAATTATTTAATAATAATAATAATAATAATAATAATAATTTATTTATCAATAATATTTTCTAAGTATAATATCTTAAATGCAATTTATAAACTAAATTAACTATAAAAAAAACTTAATTCAAATTAATTAATTAATAAAAAATAGTTTTAAATACAATAAATATATTATTATTATTTAGATATTATTATTAATATCTTAATTAACTGATTAAAAGAAATTATTTGTTGTTATATATACTAATTATACAGTAAATGCTTAATAAAAAACTTATTACAAATTATTTAATAATTAATTAATTAATTTTCTAACTAATCAACTGTTTTGTAATTTAGTTAATTATTTTTTCCATTGGTTTTCATATTAAAAAAATAATTATTATTTTTTTGGTCGATAATGGGTATGAATCAAACCCCATACCCTACCCATACCTAACCCCCCCCCCCCCATACCCAACATACCTGTACCCGACTACACGATACATAGATTTCCGATGCCAGGGCAATTGATTGCGTGAAAAACCAGGTCATMGGATTTCGTATTGTATTAAATATTTGCATTGTTACGAAAACTTTTTCCGCCTCCAGGTGCCCGCCCATGAGRACATAGGTTATGAAWATGGCAAACAATATGATACGGGCGGCTATGACCGATATGGATATGTTTAGGGCCCTCAATAGTGTCGACTGTTTTATTTTGGACATTTCATCCCTAAATAAATAAATTTTTWAAAAATTTTGTTTAAAAAAAAATCTATTATTTTTTTTGGTGTTATTTAATAAATAAATAAAATWAATKTTAAATTAATGGTTAGATTTTTTTCTCCCTTTCAATTAGTTTACAGTATATTATTTATTTTTATATATTTGATTAGTTATTTTAAATAAATATTAAACTGTAAAATCAGATATCAGTTTTAACTAATCATAAACTAAATGTTTTTTAGTATTATTATTTTCTATATATATATATATATCGACATTAGTATAGATTTTTTTTGAAAAATAATTATAATTTAGTTATAATTAAAAAATTATTTTAAATTAATCTACAATATCTTATTTTTTWWATTKTTGTTATACTTAAATATAATTGTAATCAATAGATCAGTTTATAACTAAAAACTTTATGACTTAATAGTATAGATTAAATATTTAAATAAATAAAAAAAATACTTATAATTTAATTATACATMAGTTATATATATATATATATAAGTTATATAGTAAACTAAAATTCACACAAATTATTAATAGAAATATTATTTATTTATTTATTTTTAAATAAATAAACTGTAAAATACCCGGGAAATTTTCCCGGTAGTGGGAGGAACTTACTTTCGGGCATCGGATATTAAATTGGCAAAATGTTGTTCCCAGGCATACATTTTAATAACGGCCATACCTTTAATAATCTCATTCATCAAACGTATCCTACTATCCGATARTACTGTAACTTTTGTTCTAGGTAARTTWATTAAAATTAAYAAAAATTATTATTATTATTATCGCAATTATTATTACAGTAAKTAKTACCTAATTTTCAGGAATAGTCTACCAATAAAACTATTGAATGGTATAAACATTAATAGTATAACCAATCCTATAAAACATGTCCAACCAATATATTGATAGCATATGGCTACACCGATAATTGTTTGTAACGGTGCTATTATTATAAAGGTGCCCAGTATACAAAACTATATATATGTAATATAAATAAAACAAATTAATAATAATTATTTATTAAAATTTTTTTTATAATAATAAATAATAACATATTTAATACATATAATTGTGAAAATATTAATACTAATAGTTATATGAAAAAATTAAATTAATTAAATTAATATAAATTGTTATGTTATTATTATTATTATTATTAAATTAAATATTATTAAATAAATAAATAAATAATTAATTATTATTAAATAAATAAATAATTAATTAATTATTATTAAAAATAAGTATAATTAACTAACTAATTAATTATTAAATTAAATATTATTACTAAATATTATAAATTAACTAACTAACTAATTATTATTATTATTAAAATAAATATTATTAATTAACTAATTAATTAATTATTATTAAATTAAATATTATAAATTAACTAACTAACTAATTATTATTATTATTAAAATAAATATTATTAATTAACTAATTAATTAATTATTATTATAGATTATATATTATTAATTAACTAATTAATCAGTTAATTATTATTATTATCACTACAAATACCTCATCAAATCTGCTGACATCGTTGGACATGAGGTTCAATATCTGGCCAACGGTTGTCTTACCGAAAGCCGACGGTTTGAGTTTTAAGGCCTAATATATATATATATATATATATATATATAAATATTATTTATTATTATTATTATTATTTTTTTTTTGTTGAAACTTTTTCTACCTTTTTATACATAAGCGTACACCAGCTGACCCTGATTTTGGTGGCCACCCGACACTCGAGTACCGCTGCCGGATGATAGGTCGATACGGTCAACAGTACCGATAGTACAACACCGCCGGCATACAGACAGGCTGTCTGGTAGTCATACTTGTCGGGTGAGGCAAAATAGCGGATAACATAACCGAGCATTATTGGCTGGACCATTTTAAGGAAACACTCCTATATAGTTTGGGTGGACGGGTAGGTTTGTGGGGTTGAATGGGTTTGTATACAGTATATTAATTAGAGAGGGTGTATGTGTGTCTATGTGTATGTGTGTCTATGTGTATGTGTGTCTATGTGTATGTGTGTCTATGTGTATGTGTGTCTATGTGTATGTGTGTCTATGTGTATGTGTGTCTATGTGTATGTGTGTCTATGTGTATGTGTGTCTATGTGTATGTGTGTCTATGTGTATGTGTGTCTATGTGTATGTGTGTCTATATGTATGTGTGTCTATGTGTATGTGTGTCTATGTGTATGTGTGTGTGTATGTGTGTATGTGTGTCTATGTGTATGTGTGTCTATGTGTATGTGTGTCTATGTGTATGTGTGTCTATGTGTATGTGTGTCTATGTGTATGTGTGTCTATGTGTATGTGTGTCTATGTGTATGTGTGTCTATGTGTATGTGTGTCTATGTGTATGTGTGTCTATGTGTATGTGTGTGTGTGTGTATGTGTGTATAAAATACATAAAACTTACACTGAAACCAATAAAACAAAACGGTACAAACATTTTCATTATAAATGTCTTGATGTTTGCCCTCACAAAACTTGGTGCCGACGACTGTCGACTACTGTCCAACTCATTAGCCCAATGTCTATACAACAACAACAACAACAACAAAAAAATTGTGTATTATTTTTATAGATATGAGAGGACAGGGATGTGTGTGACACACACACACACCCATCCATACCTTTCAAGTGTTTGAACTAATTGTTGGCATTCATCCGATTTTGGACAACGATATAAGTCATCAAATGTTATACTATTACGCAAACCATTGATAAATGTTTTGTAAATCCATCTAAAAAAAACATTGAAAAACAAAATTAATTTAATTATAGATATTATTATATTTTTTAAGTTAAAATTTTTAAAAAATAAATTTACAAAACATATGTCCGGCTAATAATGTTAGTCCTATCAAACTTTGATGGCTTTCTAATAATTTGTTGATTATCCATAACTATTGATATATATATTTATAGATACCAGTGCTCAATGATAGTACCGGTGCTTTTTCGATATATTAATTATTAATTTGACAATGAGTTTAGTTTTAACAATTTTTTTATTATTTTAAAAAAAATAATACTTATTATTAACAAAAATTAAAACACACTTTAGTTAGCTATATATACAGTATATATCACTATCACTATAAATATCAAGTTTTAAATTATATATTGAATCATAATTTATACTAAAYAWAWATATATATATATTTAAAATTATTATTTGTTTTGTTATTTTTGTTTAAAATTTTATTTTTGTACTAAAAAAAACTTTTGACTATTTATATTTAAATAGTAAAATACAGTACAAACTTAACAACAAAAATATGTATAATAAAGTTATATGAATTTTCTATGAATTATATGTTATATTCAGAGATAATCATAAATAATATAATAATAATAATAATAAAAATCTTTCAACAATTTTTTTGGTCATATAAAAAACGTTTTTTTAATTATATTATTATTATTATTATTATCATATACAGTACATACCAGGGTTGGAAAAATACAATGGTTTTTAATTTTTATTGGTTTTTTTTGGATAATGTTTATATRTAACAAAAAATTTCAAACTAATATATAAAAAAGTGTTAAAAAAATTTTTTATTAATAAAAATATAAAATAAAAATTCAATATATATATATATATAAAATGATTATTAAATATATATATATATTATATATATATATATATATATATATATATATATATATACTGTATATACATTGTATTATTATTATATACAATATATTTTGTCTATGCCAACACTGGTTATACATCTACAGTATACATACATTATATATATACTRTATATATACAGTAATTGATTATAAAAGATGATATAATTTTTTTTATAACTATTATTATATCAATTTCACAGTCACTGTCAAACATGCATATATACTATATATMTATATATTAAAACAAAATTATTTTAACAGTTTATTACTTATTTAAGTACATAAATATTTATTGTGTAAAATATATTACAGTTATATATATATATATTATAAATAATTTTGTTCTTTTATTATTATTGTTATTAATTTTATTACTATTATTATTATTTTTTATATATATTTAAGCTAGATAAATTATGTAATATTTGATATATTATGTACTTTTATTAGTTTCTACTTGTTTATATTATTATTTATATATATATATATATATATAATTAAAATTTATTTCTAAACAAAATTAAATACATAATTTCCGGTAACAATAATTTTTTATTAAACAAAAAAATTATAAACAAAATATCATTACTTAATATAGATAAAAATATATTTATTAAAAATTTATTAATTAAAATTGTTATTATTTGATTTTTTTTAAATATGTAAATTAATTTTTAATAAAATTATAGATTTTAAATATCAAAAAAAAAATTTTTGTGTATAATTTATATTAAACTTAATTTGTACTTGGTCATGTACATTAAGTTTAATTATTTTGTTACACAATTTGTTAATAAATTTAGTTAATCAGTACAGTTATAATAATAATAATAATAATAAAACAATTATTAAATATAATGATTATAAAAATTTTATTATAATTAAATTGATAATGATATAATTTAAGTACTATTAGATAAAAAATATAGACTATAATAAATATAACAGTTTATTAATAATTATATATATATAATGAAAAATAATTATTATAAAATATAATTGAAACTAAATATAATTAAAACAAAAATAAATTATTTTATATAAAAAAATATCATATTATAAAAATTTTATTATATTTTATTTAATAAACAAAAAAAATTACAATAATTATTATAAAAAATTACTTAATAACTAATAACTAATATTATTATTATTATTTCTATAAATCTATATAAATATATTTACAAAAAAAACAAAATAAATGATATTTATGATGATATTAATTAATAACAAATTTTTACTATTCATTTAGCAATAATAATGAATTTTATTTTCAGTACTAAATAATCAATGATTTGTTTAAAAAAAAACAATTTTTAAGTGCAATTATAGTTTAATTTTTTTATTATTATTGTTAWTATTATTAAATTTTACAATATATTAATAATAATAATAATAATAAAACAATTAATTATTGCCATTGTTTGGTGCAATTTGTGATATATTATTATATATTTATTAGTATTTTTACGACACTTTTAAATTATTTAAATAATTATAAATAATTCAAAAAATATCATTCAAACTATTAAAAAATTATTTTTTAAAAATTACATTAAAGTTTAAACTTTTATCTACAAAATATTACTAAAAAAAATAATAATATTGATAAATAAATTATAATTTAAATAAAAATGCATAATGATATTTATTGGTTGATTTGTTGGTAGTGTGTATTAAATAAATAAATAAATAATTAATTTAATTAATTCACATTAAAAAAAATTATTTATTTTTTTAAATTTAAAACCCGTTTGTATTTATATATCAATAATAATAATAATAATAATAATAATTATAAAACAACGAGACCTCTAAAAAACCAGTGTTTGTGTTGAATATATATATATTAAATGATTTAATATATATATATATATATATATATATAATACTGTATATACTGTATAATAATTGTATGATTTTTTCTTTAGATTATAAATTAATTATAATGTATTTTTTATTAAATATTTTTTTTGTGCTGAAATATATATATATTTATTAAATATCACATATTAAAGGACACTTATTACTGTATATATATATATAATGTATATAAAATTTTATAAATTTATAAATTAGCTCATAGCCTTGTAGTATTATCATTGAAATTTTTTAAAAAAAATTATATAAAATAAATAAAATTAAAAACTAATTATTATTATTATTATAGAAATTTTTGTTTTGCGGTTAACTATATTTTATTTTCTAATGTGACATTATTTTTTCAAAAATTAAATATTATTATTAAAATAAAATTATTATATAAAATATGGTTAACATTTCATAGTCATAATAATAATATTTGTTATTATTTGTTTAAATTAATATCTATTTATATATGATATACATTATACAGTATATATATATATAAAAAAATATATATGATTGATAATTGTTTTTTTAAAAACATATTTATTTATAAATAAAAATAAATAAAAAGGTAATATAAAAAAACAATAATAATAAATATCACATTTTTGAAATATACAGTATATATATATATATAAACAACAATTATATTTTTTGTTTAGTCTATAGTTTATAGTTATAGTTATAATAAATATATTTTTTAGTTTAAATAAAATACAATTAATAGCTAACTGTTTGGTTAAATATAAAAATAGTTACAAATAATAATTAATTAATTATTGTGTATATATATAATAATATAATAATAATTGTATAGTTTTTTGTGTGTGTGTGTATGTGATATCCAATTATTATTATTATTATTAACTTTTTAAAAAAAAAATAAATTTAGTATAACTTATAATTATGTGATATATATATATATTTTAATTCAATTGATTCAATTGAAATCATTGATATCTTTTTTTCATAATAAATAAACTGCAAAATTTGTCGATAAAATTTTCAATACTATAGATCAGTACCAAAATACCAAGGGATAGTGTCCCATAGTTGAACACCTGTACGACTACCGGGTGCTGGCCGGGTGTGGTGGTGGCGGTAACGGTAGTTATATGGCCACTACCACTATCGGCATCACTATTGTTTAGCCGACACATCAGATGATAGATAAATGTTAGATAAGTTATAATAAACARCGAAATGATAATAATGTCGACAATTATATCGTTCAGATGATTGCCAATGACTTCGGAYAGTTGACCCGARAGTTGGCCAACAAGTGGCCAATCGATAGGGCTGTTGGCAAACGTTGCACCGGTCGGTATACTCGAGCCACTGAACCAGACAGGCCTTATGGACGAAGGCACTGGTCCCTCGGCAATCGCACGGCGCTATCATCGGACTACTACTACTGGTAGCTACAGGTGCTGACGATCTGGTAGTTTGATTGGTATTATTGGTAGTATTAGTGTTAACCACCACTTCCTCATCAAATTCTTCTAGTAGACAAAAACGGCAACTTTTGGCCACATTTTGGATATCACTGGTAGTTGTTGTGGTAGTAGTCGTTGAAGTTGTTGTAGTAGTTGTTGTAGTATTGGCTAAACAATTAGTTTTTTTTATTATGGTCTTAACATTTGACATATTATTATTATTATTATTATTTAAATAATTTAAATAACTATTTTGATAGACAAACAAATTTTTAAAAATATTATTATTATTATTATTAACTATTTTTGCACTGTTTAGTTAGTTAGGGTTAGTATACAAACTAATATTATTATTATAAAATAGTAGACAAGTTTTATAGTTGTATTTATTTATTTATAATTTAATTTATTAAAACTAAATTTAGTTTTTTTTTAATTAATAGTTATTTTTTTATGGTTTAGAGGTTATTATAAAGTCACAGCAAATTTAATTATAATTAATTAAAATTAAAATTTGATTCAAAATAAAATAAAATTAATTAATTAGTTGTTTAGGTTGATATATATTACACACATACATATACATACACACACACACAATAAAAATATCTATTTATAAATTATTATTAACATACACATACATACATATATACAGTACATACACATAGAAAACACCTTCAATTAAATATATATATATTAGTTTCAATACATACACACATATATACAGTACATACACACACACACACACACTGTTTGTTTGAGTGTGTGATGTATACTGTATATTAGGTTTTTGTTAAGTTACCTGTATATACAGTATATACTGTAATATAATAATAATAATATCAAATAAGTTTTCAACGCCTAATGTTTTTWTTATTATTATTATTATTAYTACTATTTTGTGAGTTAACGCAAATCACACTTGTTTTTCAAGTTTTTTTTATTTCACTTCAATTCATATGATTATTAAGAAAATGTGATTTTTTCTCTCTCTCTCTCTCTCTCTCTCTCTCTCTCTCTTCTCTCTCTCTCTCTCTCTCTCTCTCTCTCTCTCTCTCTCTCTCTCTCTCTCTCTTACACACATGTGTTGGACACACACACACTACACACACATATATATATATTTTATTACACACAGTACACACACATAATATATATACACACATACACACACATACACACACATACACACACATACACACACATACACACACATACACACACATACACACACACACACACACACACACACACACACACACACACACACACACACACACACACACACACATACACACACACACACACACATACACACACACACACACACACACACACACACATACACACACATACACACACACATACACACACATACACACACACACACATACACATACACACACAGTATATACTGTTTATATATCACATGAAATTTAATAGTTTTATTTTTTTTGTAGACAGAGAGAGAGAGAGAGAGAGAGAGACGAAATGATTCATATTATATTTAATATACTAATTATTATTTATAATTAATATAATAATTTTATTACCAGTAGTTATATATGTGTGTGTAATAAACACTGTGTATACATGTCTTAAGACATGTAAACAAAATATGATATATTTATAAATAATTAATTAATTATTATTATTATTATTATTAATATATTATTTTTAATATATCATGTTTATCAAAAAATCAACTAAATATAGTTTATATATATATTTTTTATATAATACTATTATTTTAATAAAATAATATTAAAGATTATAATAAAAATAATTACAAATATATTTTTTTATAAATTTTAATAATCAAAATAATTATTAAAAATATTTAAACCAATTATTGACTGTATTGTAGATTATCTAAAAAACAAAAAAAAACAAACCACAAAAAACATTGATCTCATAATTATATGAATTATTTATTTATTTATTTTTTATTATATATTTGTTAAGCAATTTCTAACAATAATAAAAAAATATTTTCAATAAATAAATAGCTATTAAACTAATAAATTATTATTTTGATAGAAATATTATTTGTATAGAAAATCATAATTATTTCCTCTCTATTAGTAACTAATAATAATATAAATAATAAAATATTATATAATAATCATAAATTATATCTGAAATATATATATATATATATTTAGTAAAATTATAATAACAAATATAATAAAATATCATTATTAGTATTAGTATTATTTGTATTTATAGTATTACTAAATAAAATAGCAATATATTTAGCAATTTAATAATAAAAAAATTATTACAATATATATTAGTAATTTATTATTATTATTTTATTAGATAAATAAACCTGTATATTTTAATAAATATATATATATATATATATATATATATATATATATATATATATATAGAGAGAGAGAGAGAGAGAGAGAGAGAGAGAGAGATTAACTTTTTTAATTAAATACTGTATTTTTTATTTGATAAATATATATATATATAAATTATTTAATTAATTTAAGTTAACAAAAAAAAATTATTTTACTGATAAAATAGGTTTAGAGATCACACAYAYACACACACACACACACACACACACACACACACACACACACACACACACACACACACACACACACACACACACACAYACACACACTATGTATTATAAAGTCAGAGATTGAGAGAAAAAAATCAAACAAACAAAAAATTTAACGGAATTTTTCCCAATAATATGCTAATGTATTATACAATATATACATGTATTTCCTAGTGTGGAGGGGTGTCTACACAACATGTATGTACAGTATGTATACATACATACATAACAGTAGTTTTTTGTTGTTTTTGATTACCTATATATTATTATTATTATATATGAGTTGATTTTGATTACCTTATAATATATACTGTTTAGAGGGTTGTCATATGGGAAATGGGAAATGTATGTGTTTTTTATTTGTTTGGTTTATTTGGTGGTGTAGGTTGAGTATGCTATTAGATAGTAGCTACAGGTGCTTGAGTTTTTTTTTGTAAATTTAAATATACAATTCATGTATATATAAAAAATATTATATAACAACAAAAAATACAGTACTAAACAAAAAATTATTTTTTTTGTAACAATTTTGCTTTCAATTATTTTTTTTTATTAAATAATAATTTTAATAATAATAATAAAAACTAGGAATTGAAAAGTTGTTTTTTTTGTTAAAAAATTATTATTATTATTATTACAAACAAATAAATTATTATTATTATWATGATTACAAAAAAAAAAACATATAAAYYATTATTATTAGCTAAAAATATTTGTTTGCATATATAAAAATTTTATAATAATAATAACCAGTTAATAATAATAACCAGTAAATAGTTTATATATATATATATATATATATATATTATATATAAAAATTATAAATTAACCATAAACAATTAAWAAAAAAAAATAACATTTGACTTTGTTTGAACTAATTTTTTTTATAATTAATTTAAAATAGATAAATAAAATTAATATAATAAATACCGGTATACTGTATATTATATATAATAGATATGTATGTATGTGTGTGTGTCCTATATTTTTTTTGGTGATACAGATAAATAGTTACTAATCATAATATATATATATATATATTAAACTTTTATATATTAAAAAAATATTTTATTTATTTAATTTTTTTTCTATAGTTAAGTCATACAATTGACKWAAAAAAACATGTTTTTTGTTGTTGTTATTAGTATATAAATATGTTATCAATTTGTGTGATATTATAAGGAGTTTTCTAACATAAAATAAAATTAAAAAAAATTAAACAAACATTTAATAAATACATCGATGATATGTCAGAAAAAAATTAATATAAAATTTAATAGATTTTTATTAATAATAGTAGAAATAATTAACAGTAATTTATGTATATTATTGTTTTTTTTTGTTGATTGAAACCAAAAATATTATTTTAATTATAAATTAAAAATTATTTTTTTTAATTGAAAAACATATTTTAGTATATCAATAGACTGACGTCTATTTAAACTAAAAAATTTTATTTAAAAAAAAACTAATCATATTTTTATTATCTTATATTTTATTATTAGAAAATTATCAAAAATTTTTCAACAAAATAAATCTATATTTTTACACAATTTTGATATTATATATATATATATATAATTAATAAAATTAATTTGAAAAAATTATACATTGAATATCTATTTTATTTTTTAAAAATCTAAAAATTATTATTTTAAATATTCAATTAGTATATAACTATTTTAATATTAACATTATTTTTTWTTTATTAAATTAACTAATAAACTATGCAAAAAATTTAAGTTATCATGATGACAATTTTTTTAAYTTAATATAATATAAAATTTAATGAATATTTATTATTTTAGTTAAAAATAATGATTTAAAAAAWMTATATTTAATTATATTTTAAATTAAAAATTTTTACAAACAATATATATATAWATATTTAWTWATAAYTTATCTAMATCAAATTTATTCATATTATAATATTTTTTATTTAAAAAAAATWGWKMAATTTATCTAGACATTTTCTTATAAAACATTTTTTTTAAATAAAAAGATTAAAATTAAAATAAAACTTTGACCTCAATTAATTGTAAAAAACAATTCAATAAAATAAAAGCAAAATAATAGGTAATTATGTAATTTTTTTTTTGTTAATACTTTTATTTATATTTTTAATAGACAGTAATATTAATATTATTATAAATAAAGTTATTTATTATTTATAATTATAATTTAAATRCTATAAAAGAWACTAATTATTAATAGTTAATCTATAATTAATTAAGTACTATATTATTATATAATATATTAATTATTAAAAAAATTAATGTAAATTACAATAATCATAMTAATTTATATAAAATATATATATATATATATATATATATATATATATATTTATATAAATTGTATATATATATACACAATATATATATATAATTATATTTATTCAATAAATTAAWTCATAATTAWTTGTTTAAAAAAATTAATAAAAACAAATGTAAATTAAAAGTAAAATTATTTTACATTATATAATAGATTKATATAAATTTTTAAAAAAWATATAAAAATAACTTAAAATTTATTATTWATAAAATAATACTAACAATTAAACTAAATTATATATATATATATATATAGTTTAAATTTTTTTTTTAAATATAATAATTAGTTATAATAATATTATTATTATTAACWTAATATGTTAACWATATATATATATATATATTATAAATATATAATTATTTTTTTTAAAAAAAWAATAATAATATTACCTGGGAATAATTTATTAAAAATGGGAATTTAAAATTTTTTATATGTATATATATATGTAACTACCCACACACACACATACACAATTTTGGTACATTATTAATCTACAAAAAATCTATACAATAAACTATACAATATGCTAGTAATAAATAGTACCAAATTATCGCTAAATGTATATGTATTTCAATGCATCAAAAAAAWTAAATTAAAWWAAAAAATAAAAACATTACGTAATGAGTGTGTGTGTGTGTCATGCTTCCAATATATAGTTATACAGTTCAATACTAATCAATGTTWTACAGGYAAACAAACAYAATCTAAGCGGGCAGGGGTTAACACAGTATAAGCATATAGTAGTAGTAGTTTTTTAGTMAACAATTATTGAGGCCTATGTTCTAGATATCTGATATACTATAGTAATATCCCATTGATGTATAWTACAGTTGTTTACTATAATTATTGTTATTATTATTATTATTATTATTTAATTGACATTTAATTWATTTATTGATTGTTTTGGTCACCGATTTGTTGTTGTTGTCATTTGCTGTTGGCCAACAATATCGGGTATCGGTGTGTTAACCATACGATATAATAGACGTGACATTTCTCCTACCGAAACAACAAACAGCTGTTTGGTCAGTCATTGACACATTCGCGGCTCACGCGCGGCGACCATCTGAACCAATCGCGCCGCTAAAAACACCCGTACGGCCACACAATCTCCAGGCCAACAACAACAGTGTGGACACACACACACACACATACAGTGGACATACTTTTACCGTAGACAGTTTCTGGTCACCCGAGTTTTGACCGCCTGCTGTCTATATATATATATATATATATATAGAGGACACACGCGGACAGACACTCSCGGATTGTGGCCACTAGTAAAACACTATAGTTGTTGTTTTGTTGTTGTCATTACCGCCGCCGCGGCTGCCAACGTATGGACACCTGATTATTGGCCATTGAATTAAAAAAAAAAACTACTACTACTACTACTACTACTAGTAATTACCGCTGTTTTTTCGGTAGTGACCACTCACTAGTAGTTACCGCTGATAGTGACCATCACTTATACTATTACTACTACTACTAGTAATTACCGCGTTTTCGATAGTGACCATTACTTATACTGCTACTACTACTAGTAATTACCCTCCGATTTTTTCGRTAGTGACCAYYACTTATACTATTACTACTACTASTAGTAATTACCGCTGATTTTTCGATAGTGACCATCACTTATACTACTACTACTAGTAATTACGTTATCGTCRCAGTTGGCCATCTCTTCGGTAGTGACCATCACTTATACTACTTTTACTACTAGAAATGCCGGGCAATTTGGTAACAGTGGCCAACATGCGGGCCAACTATCGTGGACTACTATCCGTATTGGGCGGTGTACTCATACACTTGACACTYGGGACTTTCTACACACTGGGCAATGTTAACACATATATGACATCCTATATMCGCCATAATCTGGACCCGACGGCCACCTACGCCAACTCTATATGGGTTAATGCAGCGTTTATGTTGGGCCAGGGATCACTGATGACTGTGGGCGGCCTAATGGAAGTCAAACTGGGGCCCCGGTATGTATTATAGTAGCCATACAGCACTCAATGGCCACACACACACACACATATCCCTCTATCATAGAGGATAGTCATCATCGATGGTATAATCGATAGTCTATTATAATTGTTTTGTTGWTTTAGTTGGACATGTCTAATGGGATCCATTGTATTCAGCGGTTCCATAGCCCTAACCTATTTTACTGTACAACTWGGGTTCCTATGGGTAGTATTTAGCTACGGTTTTCTGGCCAGTCTAGGCGTGGGTATGGCCTACGTAGCACCGTTAGCGGCCGGAATGAAAGTATAGTTGTTTTTTTTAATAAAAAATAATACTTATCTATCAATTAGTTATTTGATTTTTGTTTTGTCTATCAAGTGGTTTCCCGAACGTAAAGGTCTGGTCAACGGGATAACCGTCGGCGGCTACGGTTTRGGTGCRCTGATCTTCAATCACGTCCAGACGGCTTACATGAACCCCCTGAACGAATCGCCCGATTCGGACGGATTTTTTACCGACCCGGTCATACTCGATCGGGTACCCGGTTTGTTTGTTATGCTCGGWTCGGTCTATATGGTCATCCAGCTGGTGGCCTGCMTGTTGATCTATCGGCCGCCACAGTTTCCCGAYGAAATTATATTCAACGAGGGCAAATTTTTGYTGATTAAATCGCCGACCGCCGAGTCGTCRACATCGGTGGCCATGGATTACAGCTACAGTAGTTGCGATGATGAKGACTCGGTTGCCGARKGTGACGGTGGTGATGGGCCMMGACCCTGCCAGCCAGCAGCAGCCATACCACRTAAAATCGATTTGACACCCCATGAAGCTATACATACCACCGAATTTATGCTAATGTGGCTAATGTTTGCCCTGAGCACCCAATCCGTACAGTTTATCAATACAATGTACAAAGCTTTYGGCCAACAATTCATCAGCGATGACCACTTTCTGGCATTTGTCGGCTCCGTTGCCTCMCTGTTCAACGCCGGCGGACGTATCGTYTGGGGTCAAGTCCACGACAGGACATCRTTCAAGACATGTTTTGCCAGCTGTTGTTCCCTACTATCCCTATTTGTCCTAACATTCATAATGACCCAGTCGTTCAACAGTCGTCTCCTRTACTTCCTATGGGTTTTGGCCATATTTTTCACCTTTTCCGGCATATTTGTCATATTTCCGACGGCCACTGCCCAGGTGTTTGGCCGTACGAATGCCGGTACCATCTATGGTCTACTGTTTACGGCACCGGTATGTGTGTGTGTGTAATGTCCATTTGAATTGACTAAAATTGAATCAATTTGGAAAATACATTTACTTACCGTCAGATAACTATCAGATAATTTATTTTAAGATAATTTTTGTTTTTAGAGTTTTAGTTAGTATTTAACTAAATATTTTTTTAAAAAAAATATTTAGTTAAATATAATAACTTTTAATTAATGTTTTTATTAATCAGAAAATTATAGATTTTATTTGTAAACTATTTATTATTTTAAGATAATTTTTATTTATTAGTGTTTAGTTAGTATTTAAGAAAATATTATTTTTAAAAAAAAATATTTAGTTAAATATAAAAACTTTTAATTAATGTTTTTATTAATYAGAAAATTATAGATTTTATTTATAAACTATTTATTATTATTTTAATAATTTTTATTTTCAATTGCATTCAATKSCATACCTTAATCAATCAATCAATCAATCAATTTTTATTTTATTGAAAATTTTATTTTCYATACAATTATTGTCTATTAATTAGTTATTAATTATTTTATTTTAATATTTTTTTTTTTTTTTTKGTAGGCCCTGAGCTCACTATTGGGTGCCCTAATGTTTCAAATAATACAATCGGAGCTCGGTTGGTTCGGATCGTTTTTTATGGTTGCCGTACTTATCATATTAGGTATTAAATCATATTTATTTTATGTAATACCCCCGGTTTAACTACCGGTTATCCCCAGTATAACCCCCMCCCCACTCCATAATTACCGGTAATTTTCGGACTAATTATAATTTTATTTTTTTCGTCCTATTATTATTATTGAATAAAATAAATAGCTTTACTATTGTTGATACCRTTYCCGACAAATGTGGACGCATTGAGACAAAGAAAGTCAACAAACAATTAAAWWATATATTTATGTATTTAATTATTATTATTATTAATCTAATTGTTATTAATTTATTACTACTAATATATATATTTATTTATTTATTTTTTAAWCTCMAATCATTCCCTAATGATAGAAAAATTGCCTAAAATTTTAATTATTTTATTTTTTTAAATTAATTWTTATTTTTWGGTAATTWTATATATATCCCCAAACAATGATCTTATTTTTTTYAATTATCTAGTCTTAATTAATTTTTAATATTTATTTATTTATTAATAGATATTTATTTTTATTTATTTATTATAATTTTAAAATTTTAAAATTGATTTGACTTACAAAAAAATTTATAAAAGTTATTAATTTTTTTTTTACAATTTTATGATCTGAAATTTTATTTATTTAAAACTTATTAAATGTTTATAATTATTATAATTAAAAAAAATAAATATAATAGTTATATATATTTTATACCTCATATATGTATTATGTATTTATATTCAATATATATTTATCGTAAAAACAAATTGTGATGTTATTGTTATAAATTATAATTTATATATATTTATTGTAAACTATTTCTACAAAYAATTAATTTATTATTATTATTATAATTATTGTTATGAATTGTAATTAATTATATTTGATATATAATATTATTATTGTATATGTTTTAAAGTAAATTATTTGAAAATATTTATCTATAATTATTATTATTATTATGTAATGGTAGATATTTTTTATTTAAATTTATAATTTAATTATTTTTGGTAATTAAATAACAATAATTGTTTTTAAACATTTATCTAATATCAGGTGATTATAAATGTGATTCAAATATATATATATATATATGTTATTTATTTTTTTAATTTAAATTATTTATGAAAACAAAAATTATAATAAATTGTAACTTAAATATTATGATATGAAAAAAATGTTTATATTGAAAACAAAAAAAAAATTAATATAAATGTATTTAAAAAATATATTATTTATTGATATGATTTTTAAAAAAATTGTATTTAAATTTTATTAAAAATTATTGTCTAATTAATTAAAATAAATATAAATGTTGAACATTATTATTACTGGTAATTAAATTATTATTAATATTTAATTTTTTGTTTAAACTAATTATCATATATATCATATATAATACTTAACTAAAATGCTATTTATTATATAATAATCTTATTATTATTATTAAATGATTAGTTATTAGATAATTATATAACACTGTAATAAAAATTTAATTTAAATATATATATAGATAAATAAAATTTAGTGATAACTAATAATAAACTAATTTTTATATACAGTATATATACATATATTTTTTGGTTAATTTTATAGAAATATTTTATAATAATAATAATAATAATGTTTCGAAAATAAAATCCCAGAAATTTTAAGCATTTATTAGAAACCGTATAAAAATTTATAACACAATTTTAAATCAAATTAATTTATAATTGAAATAAATTTTTTATTATTAATATATCTATATATATATATATATATAACATATATATATGTACAGTATATTTAATTTTATGCTAATATTTTTTGAGGAAAMTTTAAATGCAAATAATGTGGAAAATTCCTATCATTAGTGGCTAACTGTGCGCTGAGACTACTAGTAGGCCGTCCCTCAATGTGTGTGTGTGTGTGTGTGTGTGTGTGTGTGTGAGAGAGAGAGAGAGAGAGAGAGAGAGAGAGAGAGAGAGAGAGAGAGAGAGAGAGAGAGAGAGAGAGAGWRAGATATATATATATATATATATAGAGAGAGAGAGAGAGAGAGGAATAGTCTAGAAATTTACTGATAATTATTATTATTCAACAAAAAATAGCTCTCTTTGAATAAGTGCCAGAAAAGTGYCTAAAAATAAATTATTTTAAACTAAAAAAAAAACTATTGATAACTGTCTAAMAACTAACCAGAGCACAGTTAGTTTCACACACACACCGACATACCCTCACACACACATTGTATCATAAATTTTTTTTATTTCACCCCGGTGCAATATTGTAATAATAATAAATAATTATTTTTTCCAATAAGTAATTAATTTAATTTTTTTAAAGTTGAAAATCTATACTTAAACTGTCTATCAATCTGTACACTAGTATTAACAGTACTATTATAACTACTATTACTAATAGTAATACTAGTAATACATATACAGAGTGATAGTGAAGTTTAACATAACTACCAATGAGTGTCTCTCAAAKCATCGGCAGTTTATTATGTAGAGGTAGTGCTGGTAGTTATAAGGCGTTGGGAAAGTCATACAAGCATTGTCTGGYAAAGCCATCACTACTAGTACAGCAAGTAAGCCATAGCTCCGGCATTTCSAMAGCACTGGCAGTTAATCTAGTATTGAAACAACTTTGCCGTAAATTTTCAACGACCACCGCTACCGCCAATAATACCGCAATGTCTGCATTACCGAGAGTTTTCTTCGATATGACTGCCGATGGCCAGCCAGTAGGCCGTATYATAATGGAGGTAAGTCACCACCATCAAAAAAAATTTAGTCTAACCTAACCTACCGGTGCTTATWATAATACCAGTGTTGCGCACACCGGCATCAATGATGATGGCGACCATAGTATGAAAAGTACAGTTTTATTSTAGATATTGTTGATAATTGATTGAATAGGTTTATATGGTTTTTCAATGGTATTAGTATAGACTAAATGTCTACAAAAAAAATTATAACAAATTTTTTTATTGCCATTGTGTTAGTAATAATGTTATAATTATTTAGTAATTAATATATAATTTGATTTTTTTAATGATTAAAAAAAATTTATAGTTTTTTTTTTTAAATTAATTTTTATTTTAATAAAATATTTAGTGATTTTAATGGTTGGGGTAGAGGTTTAGGTAGATATTTTAACCTACCGGTGCTGTAATTAATTTATTTTTTGATCAATTAATTAATTTTTTTAGTTTTTTTTAATTAAAAAAACTTTTTTATTTAAATTAGTATTTAAATAATAAAACACGTGTTTATTAGCACCAGTTTAGGGGTTTGTTAGTTAAAAAAAAAATAAAACTACCGGTGCTTATAGCACTGMCTGCCATGTTATAGCCTATTATACACACATATACATACCGGTTCTCTCTCTCCCCTCCCTATCCCCCACACACATACACACACCAGTAGGTTAGGTATGTGTTTAACAATACAATTAAAAAAAAAGTTTTAATGTTTAATATACTAATTTTTTTTCGGTTAAATTTTTTTTGTTTTGTAGTTGCGATCGGATGTAACACCGAAAACGGCCGAAAATTTCCGCGCCCTCTGTACGGGTGAAAAAGGTTTCGGTTTCCAAGCGTCGACATTTCATCGGGTAATACCCGAACTTTATGTGCCAGGGTGGCGACTTTACCAATCACAATGGTACCGGCGGTAAATCTATCTACGGCAACAAGTTTCAAGATGAAAACTTTTCGTTGAAACATACCGGACCCGGTATCCTGTCGATGGCCAACGCAGGTACGGTAGCCACTTGATGATGATGGTGGTGGTGTGACCATACACTCACGCATACCCTCTCTCAGCTAACTATCTSTCTCTCTCTTAGCTAACTATCTCTCTCTCTCTCAACTAACTATGTCTCTCTCTCTCTCTCTCTCTCTCTCTTAGCTAACTATCTGTCTCTCTCTCTCTCTTAGCTAACTATSTCTCTCTTAGCTATGTCTCTCTCTCTCTCTCTCTCTCTCTCTCTCTCTCTCTCTCTCTCTCTCTCTCTCTCTCTCTCTCTCTCTCTCTCTCTCTCTCTCTCTCTCTCTCTTAGCTAATCTCTCTCTCTCTCTCTCTCTCTCTCTCTTAGCTACTATCTCTCTCTCTCTCTCTCTCTCTTAGCTTACTATCTCTCTCTCTCTCTCTCTCTCTCTCTCTTAGCTAACTATCTCTCTCTCTCTCTCTTAGCTAACTATCTCTCTCTCTCTCTCTCTCTCTCAATAACTCTCTCTCTCTCTCTCACTCAGCTAACTATCTCTCTCTCAGCTAACTAACTGTCTCTCTCTTAACTCTCTCTCTCTCTCTCAACAATTGATATACTAATACTAATTGATACCTCTCTCTCTCTCCCCGGTCTCCACACCATAACAGGTCCCAACACCAATGGATCGCAGTTTTTCTTGACAACCGTCAAAACTTCATGGCTGGACGGCAAACATGTCGTCTTCGGCTCCGTTGTCGAAGGTATGGACGTCGTCAAGAAGATCGAGTCGTACGGCTCCCAGAGCGGCAAAACCAGCAAAAAGATTATGGTCGAGAAAAGTGGTCAACTATAAGGTTATGGTTGGTACCTAACTGTCCACCACTTGATGATATTTGAATGGGCATTTCAATCAAGCAATCAATATATTTGTGTCTCATCTCTCTCTCTCTCTCTCTCTCTCTCTCTCTGTATATCTCTAAACACACACAAAAAAATCCGATATAATTACCCGTAAAACCAAATTTCCCGTAAATTTTGTTTTTTTTAAATAATTTCCAAATAATTTTTGTCCGTTTTTTTTTTAAATTTTAATTAATTAATTCAATTTAATTCCTTATATATATATTGATAATATATTTTTAAAAAATACAGTAACAATTTGTGGACCATTTATCAATCAATCAATCAATTAATTAAAAAAATCCATTTTATTTTATTTAAAAATATATATTAAAAACAATTGTTTAMAAAMTTTTTAATTATCTAATTGTGATTTATTTTTTCACTAATATATATATAATTATATAACACATACAGTAAAATATTTCCGTTTTTTTTCTCTAACTTATATTAATAATAATTTTTTTACACTTGAATTATGTGTTGTTTATAATGTGTTTTATTATTATTATTATTATTATTAGTARAAAATTTAAATCTATTTTTTCCTTTTTAAAAACTCAATTGTGATTTCAACATAAAAAAGCAAATTATTATTATAAATGTTTTATTATTTTTTTTTGTCTCTATATCTATATATTTCTATCATATGCTCATTCATTGCACATTCAAAAATACTAACACAAAAATAGTTATATAATTATTATTATTGAAAAATAATATYTCCGAAAAAAAATAAATAAATTTTGTTTTAAAAGTTGATGAAATTTGTTTCAGTAAATTATTTATATATTTTATTAATTAATTTTTTAATTTAAATTCAATTCAATAAAACTATTACATGWCTATTAMAGTATTGGTATTTTTTTTTAGTCTMAAAATAAAATGTCTATTATAGTGATATATATATACAGGTATTTAATTAAATTGTATATAAATWAATTAATTTTTTTTAATATCATATATATATATATATATATATATATAGTATATATAATGTACAGGTATTGGCAATATGTTAGACTCGTTTGTAAGTAATATATACCTGTAATGTATAGGTTATATACCTATSCCATAGCTTACTATATGGATAGATATGACTACCCATACACTAGAGGGTGTGTGTGTGTGTGTAACAAATACACACTGTTGAATACCCCCTCCCCAACACTCTCTACCCCTTCCTCACCCCCACCCCCCACTATACAGTTTGTCAYATAAGTATATATACATARCCTTACAGGTAGTGTTAAACTTGCAACTAACCTGTACAKGTATATATATATACTGGGTATATACTGTATGTTTTTTAAAAAAATGTATGTGGGTACATTTAGATATACAGTGTGTTCAAGTTATATTATTACTATTTAAATTATATATATATATACAGAGAACATTTCGATTTGTGCAGTATAGGAAAGCACTGTTTATACTATGCTTACATGATATCCACTAAAAGTTCATTAAAATAAACAAATTAACAAGTATTAAATAAAATATTATTTTCAAATTTAATCTAAAATTATAATAAACTGAAGCTATAATAATATTAATTAAAAAGATTACTTACTGAAATAACACAAACTTTAAAAATAATAATAAATATAATTACTAATTAATATAAGGTTGTGTATGGTTATCAGGAAATAAAAACCCAACTAAATATAACTAAATAAATATAATTAATAATTAATTCATAAGGTTAGTGTAACGTTATCAGGAAATAAAAACAACTAAATATAAATAACTAAATATAAATAATAACTAAATATAAATAATAACTAAATATAAATAATTAATAAATTGCTTGAATTCTATCAACTCAATTTTTTAACCGCCCACTTTATTAATATTAAAAAATAAAAATAATTAGATAAATTAGTTTAATATTATTTGTTATTAATATATAAAGTAATAATTTTAAATAATATTAATATTAAGTTTAGTTAATCTTCAAAAATTAAAAAATACTGTTATTTAAAACTACTCATAAATAATTTATTAACAAAATTAAACTAAAACTAATTAAAAATAAGTTTAAACTATACTAATCAAAACATTTAAATTAATTACAATAAAATTTAAATTAAGAAATTAATAAAATAAAATTGAATTTATTAACTAAAGCCTTTATACATTACGTTATAAATAAAAATTAAAATGTTTTAAATAATTAGATCACATTTTTCAGTCAAATTTAAATTTAATATTTGTTAGAATTAAAAAATAACATTTAGAAATTTGATTTCTAAACAAATAACAAAATTAATATTTCCTATATTTTATTTTTAAATATTTAAATTGTGAATGTATTAAGTATTAATAATATGGCAGAATGATTATAAATTATCAATAATAAAGCTATTTTAAATTTCCTGATAACGTTACACCAACCGTAAATTTTTTGTTAAATTTTAATATTGTAAAATTATTAGAAAATTATATTTTTAAGATACATTAATATTTAATTATTATATGGTATAATAATAACTTAAATTTTTAAAAGAATTAAGTTAATTAATTAATTTATCTCTCTCTCTCTCTCTCTCTCTCTCTCTCTCTCTCTCTCTCTCTCTCTCTCTCTCTCTCTCTCTCTCTCTTTTAGCATGTATATATAAATAATTAATATATTAATTAATTAATTAATTAATTAATAATAATATTACATGTATATTATAAACTTATTTATATTAATACTTATTAATTAATTAATTAATTAATTTTTAACTAAAAATATTATTATTATTATTATTAAAAATTATTTCTAATATATTAAATTAAATAAAAATTTATAGTTTGTGTTTGTGTATAGTTGGCAACACTATACTACCTGTGCTTATCATAGCCTATCATAGCCTATCATAGCCTATCTCTCTCTCTCTCTCTCTCTCTCTCTCTCTCTCTCTCTCTCTCTCTCTCTCTCTCTCTCTCTCTCTCTCTCTCTAAACAACAATAAAATAAAGTTTTTACAGTATTTATGAACAAAACAAAACAAACTATATAACAGATGGTAGGACTTAAAAAGTTAAATGTCGTCACTGAAAGCACTGGTACTAYTATTGGGTATTGGCGCTCAAAAAACAACAACATACGTTTCCCTAAGCTACCAGTGCTGCTGCTGTGAGAGAGAGAGAGAGAGAGGGAGAGAGAGGGGACTGACATTGGGATTTGAGGTTACGTTTCGTTGTTGTTGTAGTTATAGTACTGTCACTGCTGTATGTGTATGTGTGTGTGTGTGTGTATGTATGTGTATGTATGTGTGTGTAAGTGTGTGTATGTATGTATGTGTATGTGTGTAGTACTACTACTACCGTTCCCTATGTATGTATGTATGTATGTGTGTGTGTGTGTGTGTGTGTGTAGTACTACTACTAGCGTTCCCTATGTATGTATGTATGTGTGTGTATGTGTAGTACTACTAGCGTTCCCTATGTATGTATGTATGTGTGTGTGTGTGTGTGTGTAGTACTACTACTACTAGCGTTCCCTATGTATGTATGTATGTGTGTGTGTGTGTGTGCGTGTGTGTAGTACTACTACTAGCGTTCCCTATGTATGTATGTATGTGTGTGTATGTGTAGTACTACTAGCGTTCCCTATGTATGTATGTTTGTGTGTGTGTGTGTGTGTGTGTACTACTACTACTAGCGTTCCCTATGTATGTGTATGTGTGTGTATGTGTAGTACTACTACTAGCGTTCCCTATGTATGTATGTGTGTGTGTGTGTATGTGTGTATATGAGTAGTACCACTACTACTACCGTTCCCCAAGTATATGTGTAGTACTAGAAAGCACTGGTATGTTATATGGTATATGTGTTTGTTGTGTTGTTTGTGTGTATAATATACTGTACTGTAAATCATAGGCCGCCGCGCAAACACATAGACAAACACAAACACACAGTGTATATATATGTGTTTGAAATAAATACTACTAATAATAATAATAATCATATGAAACGTATTTTATATATAATATTAATAATATTTTTTTCTACTAATTATTTATTTAGTTATCYATATATTCAATATGTCTTTCAATTAAATAATATAAATAATAATAATTAAGTTATAGTTGTTGTTAAACGCCATACTATACACACACATAGTATTATTAATCTATAGTATTATATCTCATCAAAAAAAAATATATATATATATTTAATGATAATTTAAATTAAATGATAATTTTTTTTTAATGTGATTTTAAGTCTCATATCATATATATTTGTTTGGTTTGTAATACATATGATATACAGTATATAAAGTGTATATAAAATAAACTATACATTAGTTGTCTATTAATAATAGTGTTGAAAACGTATGGCTCATATGATATAATATTATTAATAATTTTTTTTTGTTTATTATATTTAAAAGTCTAATAATAAAAACCAATTTTTTTTTTAATTATTTAGTTTTTTTTGTGTGATTGTGATTATAGTTAATATAAATTTAATTATTTAATTAATTAATTATTTTGTAATACACAATGATATGATTTTTTTGTTGTTGAAAATATGATATTTAGTTAATAATAATAAAAAAGTTTTTAATTTAATTAAATTAGTTTTAATATATAACTAATTAGTAGTAATACTAATAATAATATCTAATTAAATGTTTGATTGAAAACAAACAAACAATGAAATCATAATATAATTGATTTTAAATTTTTTTTGGTTTAATTTTTTTTGGTTTAATTTTTTTTGTTTGGTTTTTAAAAATTAATTAAAAGTAAGTTTTATTTTAGTTATCGTTAATAATAATCATTGAATTAAATGTTTTTTATGATTTTTATTAATTTTTTAACAATTAGTTTCTGACCACCGATTGAATTGATTTGACCGCCGATTGATTGACTGACCTATTTTTTTGTTGACCATTGCCGAAGATATATAGAGGACAGTGGACTTAGAGAGAGAGAGAGAGGYCACCAATTGACCGCCCGATTGTACCGATAACTGACACACACACACACACAATAGGTGGCCAACCAATCGACTGCCCCGATTGTACCGATATCTGACACACASACACACACAAAATAGGTGGCCAACCAATTGACTGTACCGATTGTGTAGATAACTGACACACCACACACACACACACACGATACCTGACACACCAATTGGCCAACCAATTGACTGCACCGATTGTGTCGATAACTGACACTAAGTGGCCAACCAATTGACTGCACCGATTGTGTCAATAACTGACACACAAAATAGGTGGCCTTCAATTGACTGCCCGATTGTGTCGATATCTGACACACYAAGTGGCCAACCAATTGACAGTACCGATACCTGACACTAAGTGGCTAACCAATTGACTGCACCGATTGTGTCGATAACTGACACACCAAGTGGCCAACCAATTGACTGCGAGCCGATTGTGCCGATACCTGACACATACACACCCACACACAAAATAGTTGGCCAACCAATTGACTGTACCGATTGTGCCGATACCTGACACACACACACAAAGTGGCCTACCAATTGATACATCATACCCCACAAAGTGACCCACCAATCAATTATCAACCAATTGTGCCCGACGACAGCCGAGCCGATAGTGACCACCACACACAAAAAAAGTAGCCGCCAATTGTGCCGTTATATACAACACAACAACAAC